AGTCACATTTTTTGACTTCACAAGAAACTTTGAATACTATTGTTAAAGTTAATTATTTTTTATCTTTAAGTAAAAATTATTTAGAAGGTTAATACTATTTGTATAAAAAATTTTATCAAGATTAGTTTAATATTCATGTAGTAATATGTATTTTTATAATTCTATTAATATTATAACACTTTTTTATAACTTCACAGAATAATTTGAGTATTTGGTCAAAATCAATCATTTTTTATTTTTAAGTAAAGTTTGTTTAGTAGATTTTATACTATTTATATCTAATTTTTATCAAGAGTGATTTAATATTCATATAGAAATAATTTTATTGTAACTTAAACTAAATTAGTTACATTTTTTATCTTCACAAATTAATTTGAGCACTTTGATTAAAGTAACTGCTTATTTCATATTATATAAAATGTTCTATATATCCATAACTACTTATATATATATTTTTATCTTAATTAGCTTAATATTTATTAAGTAATAGCTTTTCATAATTATATTAATTCTTAAATTTTTTTGTCTTTAAATATTTATTTGTATAATTTATTAAATACTTATCAATATAAATATATATTACAAAATTACTATATTTTAAAAGTTATTATTTTATTTTATTATAATTAATTTTTTTGAAATTTTTTAATTACCTTACTTATATATATATATATTTCTGAATCCTATATTAGTAATAAAATAACTATATTATAATCAATATAAAAGTTATCTTATACTTAATACTATTAGACTATTCTAAAAAAATGATTTTTAAATATTTATTTGATTAGAATGATACAATTATTCTAATTAAATGATTTTTATATTATTATTTAATTATCATTCAATTAAATAATACAATTGTTTTAACCTAATAATTTTTGTATTATTATTCAATTAGAATAATACAATCATTCTAATTAAATAAATTTTTAGTTTTTCTTCAATTAGAATAATTCAATCATTCTAACTAAATGATTTTTAAATTTTGTTTAATAATAATACAATCATTTTAATTAAACGATTTTTAGTTATCATATTTATAGAACTAATTAATTAATTTATTAGATTATAATTATTGAGAAAGTGATTTATTAATTCTCTGAGTTTTTTTTTTTCTTTGTTTTTGATATTAAGTTAGTAAAATAGTAATTACTTAGAATAAAATATTAATTGAAGCACAGTAAATCATGTGATTTAGTATAATAGATATTAATTAAATAAATATAGTTAGAAAAGATAAATGATATAATTAGTTAAATGATATAATTAGCTAAATACTCATAATTAACTGTATTTAAAATATAAAAGATGGAATACAAAAGACAGAATGTTAAAAACAGAAACTGAAAACTGAAATTCAGGTAGGAATAACAGAAATATAGATAGCAAATACACACAAATAATACTCTTAATAGCAAATAGTACAGAGTTAGTCAGCTATGCTATAATTATATCAATTATTATAGTTAGCTTAGTATTACATGATATTTTCAAATAAATAGTCAGAAGAAATAACTAAGTTTAAATAATTGAGTTTAAAAGTTTAAATAATGGTTTTTTTAAAAATTTGAAGAAAATTAAAAAATAATACCTTTAATAAAAACAACCTTTAATCTTTACTTATATTTCTTAAAAATCAATAGTTAAGAATAGGTTTAATAAACTGAAAGGAATAATATAATTTGCCTTAATTCTAAGTAAGCTTATTAACTTATATCTTACTATTTGATATCTTTAGGATTATTAAGTATTATAAGTAATTAAACTAAATAAATAAATCAAGTGTGATATCATTCAATTAAAATAATATAATTATTTTAATTAAATAATTTTGTATTATCATTTGATTAGAATGATATAATTTTTTAATTAAAAGATTTTTGTGTATTGTTTGATTAAAATGATATAATAGTTTCAATTGAATGATTTTTATACTATCATTTATTTAAAATTATATAATTATTTTAATTAGATAATTTTAATTTATATTATCATTCAATTAAAATAATACAATCATTTCAATTAGATATCAATTAGTTATAAATAAAATAGTAACCAGTTCTTGATATATACTAATCAGCTATAAGTATGACAATCAACTATAAATAAGATAGGCCAAATTTTAGCTGAATTTTGGTCAATTTTTAATGTATGTTAATCAATTAGACTAATTTTTGATAATTTACCAATTTTAGGCTGATTTTTAATATATCTAATTTTTTTAATTTTGATCAATAATATTGAGATAACACTAATTAATTTAATATTATTAAATAAATTAGTATTAAATTACTTCATTTTATTCAATAAAAACCTTCTACTTATATTTAAAACTATTTATAAATATATAAATAAAAGAATTAAATATAATAGCAGTTTTATTAAAAAATAGTTTATATTTTAAATTTTATTTATTAAAATAATAATTTATTTAATTTGTAAGATCAAATTTTACCTAATTAAAATTTTATTTTTGATCTTTTAATTATGATACTATATACAAATATATTAATAAATTTTTGATGCTTATTAGTTATAGATTAATAAATTAATATTTTATTACATTTTAGATTGAATAAATAAATTTGATGACTGAAAAAATTAAATGTATTTATTTAATTATTTTATTTTTTTAATATTTTACTTTATTAAACATTCATATATTTATATATATAAATCTTAAACTAAATATATTAAAATAAATATAAAATTATAAAATTATAAATCCCTATAACTAATAGATATTAAATAGTAAATTCACCATAATCTTACAATAATATATATTAAATTAGAATATATAAAAAAGTATAAAAAATGTGTAATAATATTTTAATCTTTAAAAATACTTATTAAATTATATTAATAAGTAATAATTATTTAAATAAAACTTAAATTTTATAATAATAGTTATATGAATTATTATATCTATTTTACTTAAAGATAGAGATATTGATATTTACATTAAATTAATATTATATAACATATAATATAATCAAAAATAATAAAGTATTAATTTTAATTAATATTTAATTATTTTAAAATAAAATAAAAAGTAGTAATTAAATATAATATATTTTATTATTAATATTTAATATATATTTAAAATAAATAAAATATTAAAATTCTTTTAAGATACTAAATTATTAATTATATATATATTTAAAAAAAAAATGTTAACTTTTTAATAATATAAAAGAATATTTTAGAAACTTTTTAATAAATTAAAATTTTAATAAATTATTATTTCTTAAATTTTTAGTAAGTAAATTTATCTGTAAACTTAAAAAAAAGAATTAATTTCTTAATAAAATATTAAATATTAATTTTAGTAATGTAATAAATATATAAAAATATAATTTAATATATATTTTAAATAATTTAATTTTAAAATTAAGATTTAAAAATTATTATTAAAATTTTTTAAATAATAAAATTTCTTAATAAATCATAAAAATTATAATAATTAAAATTATTTTTATAATAAATTTTATAATATTCTATTATAAAAAAAGTAAATTTTAATAAGTTTGTTAAAAATTAATAATAAATTTTTTAAAATAAAAATTTTTAATTAATAAGTAACTATAGATTTTTATTATATAATTAAAATATAAAATTACTATGATATAATAAATTAATTTTTTTTATAAAAATTTTAATTTAAATCAAAATGAATTTGTAGTATATAAGCATTTAATTTATAGATTATATACATAGTAAAATTTGATATACAAAATCTCTGATAAACTAGAATTAGATTTAATCTATAAACTAAGTTATATATATAAAATATATTTTATATATTGATACTTATTAGTAAATCTTGATATTGGTTATAATGAATTATATTTTAAATCAGTTATAATAAAAATGGTTTAATATAAAAGAATATATAATAATTTATAATAGGAATACTGTATATAATACAAATACAGTTAACTTTTTATTTATATAATCATTCCTTTTTTATAAGCATATTTTGTTAGATTAAAATTAATAATAAATTTATTAAAAATCCTCTTTTATAATCATATTATATAATTTTTTTATTATTATACCAAATAATTTTAGTGCTAAAAGATATAACTATATAGAAGATTAACTATATATTATCATTTTTAGATGATTAGTAATTTAGAAAAAAAAGATTACCATTTCATCATTTTCTATTTTATAAAGATAAAGAAAGTTAATAAAAAATAATTTATAATAATAATTCTTTAAAATAAAAAGAGTAATTTAAAATTATAATATATATAAGATCTGATATAACAGATTTTTATATAATAGTATTTGAAATCACTGTATATTAATAAAGTATCAAAAAATATATATATCTATATCTATATAACTTGCAATATGTTAATTTGCTTTAAATAAATTGTAAATTTTATTACTTTTATATTATTAAATATAAATTATATCATTTAAATAAATTATTTAAAAGCTATATTTACTTATAATTTAATTAATATTAATTCCTTTAATTGTTTTATTATATATATTTTATGTTATTAAATTATTTTAAGATATATTAATTATAATATTTTATTAATATGTTTTTATTTAACTATTCATTGATAATCTACTAAAAAATTTATTATTAATAATCTAATAAGTGAAAAATTTTTTTTTATAATTTTCTCCCTTCCTATTTACAGGTAAAATAATTAAACTAAATCATCAAATATATTAAAATTTTCAATATATTTTCAATTATCATGCTAGTTAATCGAACATCGGATATTATTTCTGTGGTGCTATGGCCGAAAATTATTCTGAATTACGGTTGTTCTCTTGTGTATATATATATATGTTGATTAGATACTAATTTTGGTTGCGAGTGTATCGACGATCCAAATTACAGGTCACATGTGGTGGATGACAAACGCAAATCACGCGTATAAAAGCTACGCGTGCGTTTTCTTTTACTACTTGAAACTTTTCTTTCTCACAACTAACCAAACCACAGAAACTGCAAATATTGAGCAACAAAAATGTCGTCAACAAAAACCTCGCGAAGAGAAGGTACATTAATTAAACAGCTCTTGTATTATTTGTGTGTGGGACCAAGTTCCTGAACATTTTTTTTTTCTGACTTCTCTCAGATAAAAAGGATACCAAAGCTTGGATCTTGACGATAGTTTTTTCCCCTTACAAAGCCGTTGAGAATTCTATGGACTGTCGCGGCTTCGTTTCTAAAAAACTCGCTAAAGGAGCAATGAAAAGAGAAGCATGGCGTCTATACAAAAATTCGAGAATTATCCAAGAGGCTGATGACAAATACTTTAAAGTAAGATCGAGGGAGATACAATTTGGAGAATCGCCAGGATATGATGATTATAGAAGAGAGTTCGGTTTCTGCACAATTAAACCTCTCAAACTGGAATCCGAGGATAGTGGAGATGAAATGCCATCAGGGATGGAAATATAATTATCAATGATCTATTTACTGTTCTAAGTCTTATTCCTCGGTGGGGTTTTGTTAATCATAGATTTTGCGTTCCTTTTGTTTAGATACATACAATTTGCACAAACGCTCATTTGATTTCTATTTTTTTTTTCTTTCGTAAAAGACAATTACAAAATACTGAAGAAAGTCGCTGTGATGATCTTCGAATTTCGCGTTCTCCAAAACAATACTACGTTATGATTTTTAAATAAAGGATTACTCACACACTGACTGAAGTTGAGCTCGAGATAATAACATCATTAAAAAAATAAGATAGTGACAAGAAAAGAATTTGAAATGTCAAATAATAGATGATTCTTATAATTATTATCTTAAGAACAACAATAAGTGTAAGAATAAATTCAGTACATTGACGACTTTAATTTTTTGGCGCGTAAAAATTCCAATTCAGAAATTTTTAAGTTTAGTAATATAACTTTGGGGCCGTGTTTAATAGTTGATGTAGCGCTGTAAATAGTGCATGCACACTAAATATAATGATTTATAACCATATTTAATCAGAAGTCATTTCCGTTTAACGTTATTTTTTTTTTATAATTGTAATTGCATTGCTTTGCTGTTAATAAAATGCATTGTCCTAAAATAATTGCCTAACTTCCGATTTCAACGTTACCCAAATGACTAACAAGCGAAATGATATGGATTTGATTGATTAGTTATTGTTTAACGCTTTATAAATATTATTTTAGCAAATTCAAGCATTCGAAATTCATTATCCTAAAATTTTCGTTCGAATTTGTACCACTTGCATGAAAGTACATTTTACGAAAATTCTCGATATAAATCCCCCTATCGAGAACAATAATCTATACTACAGCCATGATGCTGAATCTTTTTTATCAGTTCTAATTTACGTGATCGAAATGAGGTCAAGAGTAAGACAAGTTGATTAGCATTATGTATGATATCAAGAAGGTCATTGAATAAAAACTACTTGACTTACCTATCAGCTACACCAACGATTAGGAATTTGAATACATTTCCCCAATGAGGTATGAGGTATAACATTCTTTTATCTTCATTATGAAAAGAAAGGTTCTTAAGCATTGAAAATATTGAATTACTAGGGAGTCTAGATGTAACTTTGATAAAATTCCTGTGTTAAATATTCGTCCCACAACCTATCACATATCCATAAAAACTAGTCGAGTTCATTAAATATAGGTAGTCTTGATGCAGTGAAAAAATTCGGAGGAAGTATCTCAATTTCAAAATCTCCATTGTAAACTTTTAATAAGTTTGTTATTTGTAAGGCAGAAAAATTTAAGCTACATTACAAATAATTACGCGAGCATTGGAATTTCTAAAATGCTTATTTCGAAAAAAAAAAAGAGATCGGGAAAAGATACAGGTAATGTTTCCTGTAATAAAATTTGAGAAATATCACAATAAATATATTCTATATAACTAATAATTTCGGTCCTAATTTTGTAGCAAAATGACCCTGTCGGTGAAATAAAAGTCGGTGAAATAAGTGTCGACAAATGGTTGTCTGATAAGTGAACATGTCCGTGATTATTTATGACCTTTTTATATAATTATATAGTAAGTATTAAAATGTAATTTTATGATACGGGTTATCTCATATATACGAAAATTTTCCACAATTCTAAATTCTGAGTTGATTAATTAGCAGGTGCATTCGTAAAATTATTTTATTTATTTTTACACCACATTATAAAATTTAGAGCCTTATTTGTTTATATTAATACCGTTACATGCTATTTTGCCAAGCTAATCAGGATTAATCGCAGTAGTAAATCCCATCGATGAACCAGCATCAGGAAAACTGCGGAAGATTCATGTGCAGATATACATTTATTGCAAATGATTTTAAATTCAAAGAAAAAAAATGAGAAATAGTAACCTCTTAACTTGATCAAAAAGCTATAGGTTTTTTTTTTTTTTTAAAAAAAAAAGAATAAATTTATCATCACGATGTTTTTAAATAGAAAATAAATAAAATTTCATATATTGATATTTGTTTAGGAATATGAATTAATTCAAAAATTAGAATTGATTAATGTTGTTTGATTTATTTATTAATTAAATAAATTTTTATGATAGAAATGATAAGCGCAATATATCTTATGCGCCATTAAATTATTGTTTCTTTGATTCGATTTATAAGCCTTTTAGGGGATTTTTACAAATATAGAGAGCAGGCAAACAAAATATATTAATGTACACGAGTTTCCCAATTTCTTTCAAATTTAGCAGTTATAATATGTTATTCTCTTATAAAACGGATCGAAATCTTAACATTTAGTTGGGTTTTCTTCTAGACGATGAAAAATTTAATGCGTTACAAACTTTATAAAGCTTTTAATGTATCGTTTATTAAGTTATTATAAAGAACTACAAAACTGTTATCCAATACTAATCGATCATATGAACTTACATTAATTCTTTAAATGATACAAAGAAATATAAAAATAACGAAGGACTTTATTCAAATTAATTACACGGCCACATATGATAATTATACTTTGGCCTTGGAGTAATTTGCAACAGCGAAATTTAATTATCTGAACCGGATAATTATAACGTAACTTCACGGGTAATCTCTGATAACCCGTGAAGTTACTATCAATAATTGCATAACAAGTGATATCAATTGCTAGTGATCTATAATTTTAATATTATTCTATTAAAAATTATTTAATTTTACTACAAATTCAATCTACTCTAAACCGAACAAAATGATGGTTAAATTGTGTTGCGTTATTAAGATGATGCTTGTTCGAATAATATAAATTTTTAAACAGCTCGTAGTAAAGAATTGAACTTTTGTTCGGGAACTGTACGGTTAATTATGTTCGAGTGAGAAATTTGAGTATCGAAGATTATCAAGTCACCTTGAATAAGCATTCATTTTACAGAATAATGTCCTAGAGTTTATAACTGAATGATCCTGAATAAGGAATGGAAATTCGTATAATATAAAAGTTGAACAAATTCAATTTTTAAAAAGTTTGCCACTTTAGGTCAGTAAAACTATATCAAATTATAATTTATTTTAAAATATCTATACATAATAATGATTTATTGATAAGTTATATATTAAAGATAACCTATAAGTTTTAAAATTTAATATATTTGTTTTTTAAAAAAATATTTTTAAATTTTTTTTTTCTATTTTTTTAAGATTCTAGCAGATAGTCTTAAGTGGAATTTTTATCAATGAGTGTATTTTAGTAGCATTATGTATTCCATTCCTCCAGAATTGTAAAATTGTTTAATGCTGGACTTCTTGCTTATTTGAAATCATTTTAGTGCTTATTAAATTAAATTTTTATTAATGTATGAAAAAAGTTTCATTTGGAGGCAATAGAGTAATTATAGGGCTTTTATTTGTATTTATTTATGTATATACGACTAAAATTGGGCTAGTTACACTTGTTGATCTTTTTTTAAAAATATTGTCATTTTTTTTGCATACTATTGTATATAGTTTTTCTATAATTATGTGGGAATTAACATCTGGAATTATTCCATTTAATAATGAAGCTTATGATTTTCAACTTAGTTTAAGTATTTGTAAAGGTAAACGTCCAGAAATTATCAAAGACACTCCACAATGTTTTATAAATTTAATGAAAAAATGTTGGGATCAAGATCCATTAAAAAGACCAACTGCAATAGAAATTAAGAATATTATTAAAAGTTGGTATGAAAATATTATAAATAAAGAAGTATTTGATAGATTTGATAAAAATTTATAAAAAATATTATAGAATTCTATATGCAGATAAAGCTTTAGAACAAAATTACAATAATTTTCCATCTGATACAATTATTAAATCTCATCCACAAGCATACTTTATAAGCAAATTACTTAATTTTACTGAAAAATTAAATGAAATTTAGACAAGATGTAGTAGAAACAGAAACGAGTATTAGTCAATATATCGGTAATTATAAAAATTCATAAATTTAAATATAAAATATTTTAAAATTAATTAATTATTTATTTTTAATTGTAGATACTCTAAATATTACTGAAAATGAAATCA